ACAGCCCCGTGTGCCCTGGGACAGGGACAGCCCCGTGTGCCCGGGGACAGGGACACAGCCCCGTGTGCCCTGGGACAGAGGGACACCCCTGTGTGCCCGGGGACAGAGGGACACAGCCCCGTGTGCCCGGGGACAGGGGCACAGCCCGTGTGCCCGGGGACAGGGACACAGCCCCGTGTGCCCGGGGACAGAGGGACAGCCCCGTGTGCCCGGGGACAGGGGCACAGCCCGTGTGCCCGGGGACAGGGACACAGCCCGTGTGCCCGGGGACAGAGGGACAGCCCCGTGTGCCCTGGGACAGGGATACAGCCCCATGTGCCCTGGGACAGAGGGACACAGCCCCGTGTGCCCTGGGACAGAGGGACAGTCCCGTGTGCCCTGGGACAGGGACACAGCCCCATGTGCCCTGGGACAGGGACAGCCCCGTGTGCCCTGGGACAGAGGGACAGCCCCGTGTGCCCTGGGACAGAGGGACAGCCCCGTGTGCCCAGGGACAGGGACACAGCCCCGTGTGCCCGGGGACAGAGGGACAGCCCCGTGTGCCCTGGGACAGAGGGACAGCCCCGTGTGCCCTGGGACAGGGACACAGCCCCGTGTGCCCTGGGACAGGGACACAGCCCGTGTGCCCTGGGACAGGGACAGCCCCGTGTGCCCGGGGACAGAGGGACAGCCCTGTGTGCCCTGGGACAGGGACACAGCCCCGTGTGCCCTGGGACAGGGACACAGCCCGTGTGCCCTGGGACAGGGACAGCCCCGTGTGCCCCGGGACAGGGACACAGCCCCGTGTGCCCTGGGACAGGGACACAGCCCCGTGTGCCCTGGGACAGAGGGACAGCCCTGTGTGCCCTGGGACAGGGACACAGCCCGTGTGCCCAGGGACAGGGACAGTCCCGTGTGCCCTGGGACAGGGACAGTCCCGTGTGCCCGGGAGCTGCTCCCCAGCACGGCTGTGCCCGCAGGCTGAGCCCCCGGGGCTCTGCGGTGCCAGGGCATGGGGGCACGGCTCCACAGCCCCCACCAGCCCCTCTCACCCCAGCACTGGTGCCAGTCAGGCAGCAGGTAGCTTAGAGCACCAGCCACGTGTTGCAGGTTTTCCACAATGTGAGAGGTGGCTCTGTGTAAAAGAGAGCAGGAGAGTTGCTGTTTGGATAGCTGCAGTTGGAGCTGTGAAACACGGGAGGAAACCGAGTCCCTTTGGGCTCAGAGCTCGGCTCTGGGGTGCCGTGGGTGTCCCTGGCGAGGGCAGGGGTGCTGCTGTGCTCAGGCACACGCACGGGGGGCACAGCTTGCCCCAGCCTGGCACAGCACAGCCCGTCACAGTCCTGAGCAGCACAGGGGAGCCCCAGGACGGCCTGTGCCAGCCCTGCAGTGCCACAGCCCTCAGCAGAGCTGGAGAGGGTCCCTGAGGTGTCACTGCTTCCACCTCCTGTCCCTGGGCAGATGAGGGAGCATCCCTTGGCCTGACAGAGCTGTGTGGGTGACTTTGGTGTCTGTGTGTGCCTCCTCCTGCCTGGCACTGGCTGAGAGCTCCGGAGGGTGCTGCTCCAGCCCCTACCCCTGCCCCAGATCTGCCCCTGCCCTGCCCCTGCCCCTGCTCCTGTTCCTGATCCTGTTCCTGCTCCCAGCCAGTGTCACCCCAAATCCCCCCAGTGCCACCCCAAATCCCCCCAGTGCCACCCCAAATCTCACCCACTGCCACCCCAAATCTCACTCACTGCCACCCCAAATCCCAGCCAGTGCCACCCCAAATCCCCCCAGTGCCACCCCAAATCCCACCCAGTGCCACCCTGCATGGCAGGGACACCTCCCACTGTCCCAGCTGCTCCTGCCTGGCCCTGGGCACTGCCAGGGATCCAGGGGTAGCCCCAGCCTCTCAGTGTGTGGAACAAGAAGATGTTTGGAATGGGAAAGACTTTTCCAAAAGTTTTTGGTTTTTTTCCGATTTTTTCAACCTCGTGGTGCTTACAATTTTAAATAACAGGTGTGGAACCCTGGATCTGAGGGGACAGGCGGTGTAATGACCGTCACTGAAGTGGCTGTTTCTGCTTTTCTCTGACTTTCCCTCATAGGCAATGGATTTCCGTCATGGATTCCCAAGGAGGAGCCCCAGAAATCGCGATTTCTCCATTTCAACACGTCCCCACTTGGTGGCACCATTGGTCCTTATTACACCACACTTACAACTCCGTTTTTACTAAAAACCACTCAAACTTTTGGGGTCTTTCCGACACAGCCTCTACACATGAATGGAAAGAGGAACAAGTAGGATTTTTTTTGTTTAATGAGTACAAAATTATGGAGATTTATCTTAATGGACTGGCTTCTCTGGGTCATGGTTTTTCATCTCTCTTTAAAGTGAAAAATGTGTAAAACACAAGGAAATGATTCTGAACCCATTTCCAACAGTCACACACTCCGAGTCTGTGGGTAGAATACTGATAAAGGAGGAGTGTTTTGTATGGAAATGCTCTGTCACGAGGCAAAATGTGAGGATTCGTTCTTCTACCCTGGAAGGGTGAATGCATAATTGCCATCTGCTAATTCAGAAGGTCCAGGGATGGATTAATAACCAGGGGACCAGAGGGCACAGCAGAGAAATGGGCAGCCATGCACATCCCCAGCTCCAGCCCAGCCCCAATTCCTGCACAGCCCCAGCTCTGGCACATCCTAAATTCCTGCACAGCCCCAGCTCCAGCACATCCTAAATTCCTGCACAGCCCCAGCTCCAGCCCAGCCCCAATTCCTGCACATCCTAAATTCCTGCACAGCCCCAGCTCCCCCTGCAGGGTCCCTCTGAGCTCTGGTTTGAGCTCGGTATTTTGATTTGGGAAGGCATTTTCTCTCCAGGAGGTGTTAAAGTGAAGCTGCACCACGGTGCACACGGTGCATTTGCTTTATGTGAGGACATTTGCTTCACCTGGGGACATTCACTTCATGCGAGGACATTCACTTCATGTGAGGACATTCACTTCATGTGAGGACATTCACTTCACCTCGGGATATTCACTTTATGTGAGGACATTCACTTCACCTGGGGACATTTATTTCATGTGAGGACATTTGCTTCACCTGGGCACGTTCACTTCACATGAAGACATTCACTCGACCTGGGCACATTCATTTCCCCCGGGGACATTCATTTCCCCCGGGGACATTCATTTCCCCTGGGCACATTCATTCCCCCGGGGACATTCATTGCCCCCAGGGACATTTGCTGAGGCCCTCGAGGGCTGAGCAGTGGCAGCTCCTGGGCTGCATCGAGGCCAGCACTGTTTCCTTCCTGCCCACGAGCAGCTGGCTGTGAGCTCGTGGCGCTGCAGGGGTGGCACGGGCAGAGCTCTGTGCTTCAGCACGACACCTGTGATGGGCTGGGAGCTTTCACTGAGCTGGGCAGCCCTGGCACAGGTGCCCCAGAGGATCCCTGGCAGTGCCCAAGGCCAGGCTGGGCACTGGGGCTGGAGCAGCTGGGGCAGTGGGAGGGGTCCCTGGGTGTCCCTGGGTGTCCCTGGGTGGGATTTGAGGTCCCTCTCAACCCAACCCATTCCATCATTCCACGATTCTTTCCCACTCCCCGTTGCTGCTGGGGGCTGGGTTGGGGTGCACAGCCCCAGAAGGGCAGTGGGGGATCTTTGGGGGGTGCCAGGGTCAGGCTCAGCAGCAGAGGGGAATCACTGATTTCTTCTCCCGGAGCCTGTTCCTGGGAGCAGCTTCCTCCTGCGATCCCGAGCGGCTGATTGTGCTTAAACTGCGCCGGTTGAACTTTTCCTCCCGGGCTGCCTGCGGTGAACTGGGCACTGCTCCCCGGATTACCTGGGGAGTGGGAAGTGTCTGACCGCAGAGATGCAGAGCTCCTGCTGCTCCTGGAGGAGCGAGCCGAGCGGCGAGTTCAGCTCTGCCGGCGCCGCGGGCAACAGAGGGCAGCGCTCCCGCAGGGATGGAGTCTGCACCGGATCCCGCATCCCGAATCCCGAATCCTGAATCCGGCATCCCGCATCCCAGATCCTGCATCCCGAATCCCGAATCCTGAATCCCGCATCCCGGATCCCAGATCCTGCATCCCAAATTCCGAATCCTGAATCCCACATCCCGGATCACAGATCCTGCATCTCGAATCCCGAATCCTGAATCCCGCATCCCGGATCCCAGATCCTGCATCCCGAATCCCGAATCCTGAATCCCGCATCCCGCATCCCGCATCCCGCATCCCGAATCCTGAATCCCGCATCCCGAATCCGGCATCCAGGATCCCAAAGCCCAGATCCCGCATCCCGCACCCGGATCCGGCATCCCGGATTCCCCATCCCACATCCCGAATCCCTCATCCCAGTTCCGGCAACCCAGATCCCTCATTCTGCACTTGGTATCCCACATCCCGGATCCCCCATCCTGAATCCCCCATCCTGAACTCCCCATCCCGAATTCCCCATCCCGGTATCCCACATCCTGGATCCCGCATCCCGCCGACCCGGCTCCTTGTCACGCAGGTGTTTGTGAGGGTTCAACAAACCCACAAAGATTTTGGTGGTGCTGGTGAGGGTTTACCAAACCCACAAAGATTTTGGTGGTGCTGGTGAGGGTTCAACAAACCCACAAAGACTTTGTTGGTCCTGGTGAGGGTTTACCAAACCCACAAAGACTTTGTTGGTCCTGGTGAGGGTTTACCAAACCCACAAAGATTTTAGTGGCACTGGTGAGGGTTCAACAAACCCACAAAGATTTTGTTCTGTTAACTGCTCCATGGCCGGGGGCAGCGAAGTGCTCAGCTCTGGGCAGAGACACTGCCAGGGGCTGGGATGGGTTTAATGTTTGTTCCTCATGCTGCAAAAAGCAATAAGGGGAAGAAACCAATCGAGGAAAAAACATTTCCTTAAATTATTTTTTTTAATTAGTACCTTACAAAAAATTCATATTAAAAAGTAAGGATTTACAGCTGCACAAATGGGTTTTAGCTGCTTGGAATGAAACGACTGAGGAGTGACGAGTCTGTCTCAGGCAGCTGTGATGAAATATTAATTGGATAAAAGCTTTAATATAGATTTTTAAAGCAGCCTTTTTCCTTCCGATGTAACATATTACAGCTGGAAACTGCTCTCATCTGCTGCTGTAAGAGCAGATCAGGATCCGACTCTCTGCCACTGTGGACATTTCCTACTGGTTCCTCAGTCATTTTTTATAGGGGGAATTAAGAAAGAATTAGGAACGGAGCAGGAGAGGAAATACAAAAGACAGATTGGAAGAGAGAGATGAGAGCAGCGAGGCTGGGTGTGACAGAGCAGGAGTGAAACGAGCTCGGGAGGGGCCTGTGCCCTGTGTCCTGGCAGCAGGATGCCCCACCCAGTGAAGTGACCTCAAATCCCATCCAGTGCCACCCCTCAAATCCCACCCAGTGCCACCCCTCAAATCCCACCCAGTGAAGTGACCTCAAATCCCACCCA